CCGGGCCTTGGTGGTTCCTTCCTTTGCTTCACTCAGCCTCTGCTCAGGTGAAATCTTTTCAGAGCAGGTCTCCACGGGAAACTTAGGTAAAATAGCATCTACATCATGATCACCATGCCGTTCACCCTGCTTGTTTCTATCTTACAGCATTTCCGGCATTTGCATTCTACACTCTCTTATAGACTCCTTTGTGAACTGTTTCCTCTCTAGAATTAAAGCTTCATAAATTTCATTAGAAAAATATAAATATGGCCACATATAGAGACACAAATAAAAATCACTTCACCATTAGCATAAATCAAACCATTACAAATTATAATCCAGAAGCATATTCAAATTAAAACTGTAAACTTCACTATGATTTGACTACAAGATATTTCATTGTTATATCTTCAAATTGGCTAGAGCCATGCAAGCTAATATTAGATAGTCAGTGAGAAAGACTAGCAGGAAAAATCAGAGATGATGATGAGTAGAAAAATAGAGATGGTTAATAATCCATAGCAAGTTGGTTTATTTCTTTCCAGTAATTTTCCCACTTATAGATTTTTTACATATATATAGGCACAGAAACACACACATTATATAACTTTATGTTGTTTTACATGTAAATAAAGCATAAACATTTCTAAGTTATTACAGATTAATTATACTCATCATTTTATAGTAAAATTCACATTATGACTGGCTAAGCTATTCCTCAATTGTTTATCTTTTAAACAATTTACATTTTTATTTCATAAAAAATTCCAAAAAAAAAAATTCTTTGCACATAAGTTTTGACAGACCATAGCAATTTTAAGGCCCTGAATATATTTTATTCTATACCTTGGCTGAAAGAGCCAACAATATTTTTTGAATTTAGTAGGTCTGTAAAATAGATACTTCATTGTTTTGACAGTTTGAGACAGCCTCTATAATTATCAGTGCCCACCTTAGCACCTCATCTAGTCAGGAGTGTACAAGAGCAGCTAATGACACACATATTTGGAACATACATTTTCTATCAAGAATTTTAAATGTGTATAACTCTGGTAATAGCCATCTCGCCCATGATAACTGAGTCTCAGAATAACATGTCCAAAGGTACACTTGCTGGAATTATTGGAGGCCCAGCTTTTCATCTAGGTCTGTAGGACATTTGCTTTTCTTGTATTTACAAATGTTAATACTGTTTGCTAAAGTTCATATTGTTATAAAAATGATAGCTTTGGTATTACCAAAATAAATGAAATTGGAATGTTTTTTTTTTTTGTTCTAAGGCATTGGAATCTTATGTTTTTAAATTAATCTTTAAAATTCCACTGCCATATTATTTCCCAATTATTTGAAATATCTATTAGGAAAAAAATGCACATTTGGTACTCCCAGAATAAATTATATAAATGACTGATTTGAGTCAGAAAAGTTACTATATTTGAGATGTTTTTGGTGATGATATTTCATATCATGATTTACCATTCTGCCAACAACTTAACAATGACAATGACATATTGCTATTACCTAACAATTACAAAGAAAGCAAATGATCATTACTGTTTATCAAATAAACAATGACTCAATATATCACAGTTGAAAAATAGCCAATTATTATAAAGTAAGTACCATTATTCAATCATCACAGAGAAGAAATAGTTATTTATAGGAAAGTATGTATGACTAATTAATATCTGTAAAGGTAAATTTTATTATTTCCATTGTAAATAATTGTTGAGCAAGGATATTTATAAGAGAGATATATAGTTGGAATTAAATTCATATTTCCTCTTAAAAGTTTGTGCCAACAGCTTATACAGTTTAAAATTTGCTGAATATGTATAGATATATGATATCCATATGTATATAAATATGTATATCTATATTCTGCTAATTTAGGAACAGTATGTTAAACATCTGCATTTATTTTTTGTGAATTTTCAGGAGTTTTAAAATAATCATTACAATTTATATATGAATTCTTTCTGATATTTAAGAAGATTTCATAGGGCCTCTCTCAAATTCACATTTGGTACATATGAAATATATGGTTAAATACAGTTGTTATAATAATGTGACTGGTATTTAGCTAGAAAAAAATGTTCTAAAGATAAATGGGCATTATTTGTATTACCTGAAAGTATGTGAATTGAGAATGATAAAGATCCGGGTACACATGAAGAGTAGTTCCAACGACAAGTAATAACTCAAATTTGTGGAGAGATGAGCTAATATATCCAGTGAACCCCAGACACCATATCTTCAGAAGAGCTTCCAAATCAAAAAGAACTGTAAAAGCCACCTGGGGGAAGAGAGAGACATTGAAAATGGAATCCAAAACACTCTTTCAATTTATTTCACATATTTTTCAGTACATAAATTTCAGCCATGGTTATGTAAACTAAAGAGTTCCACAAGGTCAAGAGATAATTTTATTAGACAAGTTTAGAACAGACCATCTAGAACACAGTAGACTAAAGCTATCTTAGACAATCAGAAAACATGTTGGGATTTTGAATG